GTCACCCAGGACCTGTTTGCCTTGGGAGACCCTACCAGGGACATATAGCCCCCGACAACATAGCTCCTAGGATCACTCGGGTACTCAAACCCCTCCACCACAATAAGGTGGCGGTTCAAGGAGGGGGGGGGGCTGGTGCAAATACAGATTATAGTATGGACTTCATCTTTGTTTTGACTTCATTGGTAAAGAGGTTCATGGGTATGTGGGTAAAGAGGGTGTGCTTGCATAACTTTATGCATTTTTTTACAGACTATTTCCCCAGCCTTGAAAAAAACCCATTCACATGGCACAGATGATGCTGGGGTACACAGGAAATGCTTGGATAATTCATAGAGGTTTGGGTAACTATATATGCAATATATCTATATCTATATATCTTATTTATATACAGTATATCTATATCTTATCTATATCTAAAATCATTTAGGACTATCTATGTAACTATATCTTGTGTTATCTAACTATGTAACTAATTTATCTATTTCTCTATTATCTATTGATCTATTTCGCTAGCTACAGTGATTCTCCACTAAATACACAATCTGCTACAACACTACAAACTCTCAAAGCAACTAACGGCAACAACAGCAACAAACCAACCTGTTCTGCATAGATAAATTCAAATGAATGCCACTAAATAGGGGTATCCTGTCTCTGAACACAATTGATCCAAAGTGATTCACATGACAAACCCAACCAATCAGCTGATTCACCTGACGTCCAACGAACCCAACTGCTTCGGACGTCACTCAAGTGATTCAAACATCACTAGTCACATGGCTGAAACACGCCTCGGCACAGTGGTTTGATACAATTGTTTTATGAGCTACCACGCATGTGTCGGAACCTCGGGTGTCATTGGGCCATGACTAAACAGAGTTAGCCAGCCTTCTTTTTCACTTCTCCCTGCAGAAAAAGCAGACTTCTAAGGCTAGCTACCAGCTAAAACTACCAAGGCTAAAGCAGCTTAGCCATGAACCAGAGGTCCCCGACTATGTTTCAGGGTCACAGATCTGGGCACGTAACACCATATTTGAGAAATTTACAACTAAAAAGAAGTTGGATGCTGCAAGAAGTAAAACCAGAATTAACATTGGTGTGGCATTAAATGATGGCAACAACTGAGAACAAAAGGGGCTGAACAGTGATGCCATAGTGGCTGTGTTTCTGCTGGACAGGTAATTATCGCTTTTGTTTTGTTTGGGGGCATTTGTTATTTTTCTGAAATCAGTAAGTAGTAATCAGGTGGTGCACATTGTGTTTTGGAGAGAAGTCTGAACAAAAGGGTGGCCACTTTCAAAAATGAGCTTCCTCTTGCAGGTTTTTCCAGAATCACCAGTTGTACCTTTAAGACATATAAAGACCAAATAATAATGGAATATATATATATTTAAAGACCCCAGTGTCAAGGTATGCAGCCAAGGTGAGATATGAAACCCGTGTAGTGTTTATTATGATCCTCAGTCTGGCCTGTAAAATAGTCATGGTGCTGTTCAGTGCCAGAGTTCATTACTGAAGTTTACACTATTGATACAGATTTTCAGCTTTTTTGTGTTTCATACAATGTCCAACCAAAATCATCCACGAAGCAGTTAATTGTTAATTCATACAATGAACTGTGATGATGTATTTTGATTTTTTAGATTTTCAAGTTCAACTAGCTAAAAATAAAACACATTCTTAAGGTAATGTATTTCAGAGAACACAGTAATGGAAAAAATTCCCTAACCATTCCTTCATTTACAGTCAATGTGAAGCTGATGCTAGAAATGTCTCAAAAGCCTGTAATGCTGTGTGAGTCTTGGCCTTCAGATCCTGCTGTAGACAGACTGCGACTCCTCACTGAGCTGAAATGTGGTTTCTGCTTGTTTTAAAGTTTTACAACAGGGGATGCCCACAGTCGCAGGCTGAGCTCATCATCGACTTTAAACCTATTTAAACTTCAACATCTTCAGCTCAGTTGGACATAATCAGGTCAACTTTTCATAATGATATCTTTCAAACTTTTTGTAATATTCAACATTTTTTGGACTTCTTTCCACATTCAAATTAATTGACAATGTTCAAAATTCACTTTTCTCACAATTTCATGCGCCTACCAACTTTTGATACTCATTCATTCTTTCAGGTAGAAACTCCATTTAAGTTTAAAAAACTAACACATTTCTCAACATTATTACTTGGTTTCAACTTTCAAATCCTCTTTTTACTTTACAAACCATTCAACTTTGTTTAAATCTTAGTTACAATGGCAGTCAGTGAGAGAAACTGTCAAACCCTCCAGAGTGGTAACATCATCAGTTAGACTGTGAGAAAGTGGAAAACCTGTCTGAAATGTTTCTCTAACTTGCCATCATGGCTACAGTTTTCATTGTATAGCTATCATGTTGTCATCAGTTTTAAACCAGTTTGTCTCGAAGAATATGTGACCATCTAAGCAAACAGATTTAAAGATTTACTGTGGGCCTCAGAGTGACAGGAGTACCAAGCAACTGCTACATTACCTCAAATGATAAATGAAGCCAGAATTTTGGGGAGGAAACTGAAATGAGAGCTTTGTAACTTGCTCGGTTTCTTACATTTTTAAAACCACAAATGCTGAATCTTTTGTTTTGCCTCTTTATGTATTCCTGTCAGTATTGAGGTGATATTTATAAATCTCCACGTATCTTATATTGATAGCTAGAATAATAAATAATACTGACTATGGGACTGTAGAAGCCGACTGCAGTTCAGAAGAAGACGTTTCAATATCACAGTTATTTTATATGTCAGTACACAAAGAAAACACAGATAAGTTTCAAGTAATGTTTTGAAAGCTTAAAGAAATATTAAATGATACAAATTAATGAGGGAGAAAATTGAGAATAATAACAATGAATGCACATAAATATAAGGATAAGGAGGATAATCACATGAACGTTCAGTTTTTTCTTAGTCCCTGGAATTAAGAGAAGTCAGTGTGCAGTTCAGTTAATCCTACCCCACTATAGGTGAGATACTGTAGCTTGTAGTTCACTTAGTTCATTTTCCAGTTGAAGGTTCGGGGTAGTTTGCAATCTGCAGACTTTAATGGATCCCAGTGCACTTTATACAATTAATGCTAGCACAAAACCCTGAAAAAGAAAGGTTTGTGTGTATCATGAATGTCTAGGTGAGACATTTATT